GGTGAAGAAAATATGGCCCGCGGGCTATGATAAGTTGGACAGCGCTGGGTCAGATTATAAATCAAGTAGCTTTAAAGTGAAAGCTGCTAAATTGTGTTTTAAAAGCTGAAACACAATAATCTAATTTATATAACATATATCTATATCTAGAGTAAAACGTGTCTAAAATAGAATTTGGCCTGTAATGATTTTTTCATAAGAGCCGTATGTTAGGGGTATTTTTAAAACCAACGTTATATGGTTTTAGATATGAGAGAAACTTACAAAGGAAGGTTTAATATCTTCGCTATAGTATAAGAAGAATATGCTGAGAAGGTATTGGATGCTGTTTTGTGTCTTCAAGTTATATACATTTCTTACACACACAACATATTTTATTCAGAGCATATGAAAGCTGACTTTAATGTTTCTAGAATATCAAACTCTTAAATTTATGATCAATTTTTATTATAATGGATGATCAAATAAAAAGATTACTTGCAAGAAATAGACTTAGTGATGCCATGAGCCACTTTTATATTGCAAGAAATACATAAATAAATGCTTATTATTAAATGTGGACTTGGGATTACATTTGAGACTCATCACCAGCATCATCAAATCTACCCCTTGCAAGTAAACTTTGGATCATCCTGTAGATTATATATGATTATAATAGATAAATTGAAGTTTATTTTTACATTTAAGATGAATGAAGAACGTAACGGAAAGCAAGAAGTTGCGTACAACAATCCAGGTAAGAGCTACATTTGATATTACAATAACTGGGTACTCAGTATTGACAATTCACATACAAAACCTTTAATTCTGAAAGACACTAAAATTATAAGACTTGTACAAAATAATTTTAGCTTGAAACACCTGCTTAAGAGTAAATCCATAAATTTTAAGTATCAAATATTTGGAAGTTGTGGTATGAAATCCCATAATGTAGAAGTGCTTGCATGAATTTCCTAATTTGTAGTACAACATTTTCATTTAATATGATATAATTAGTTGCAAACCTAGTTTAAATGTCTTAGTTTTAAATTGGAGGAATATTTGAACAATTTAAAAACAATCAATCAAAGGCATTCCGTAATTTAAATGTAAATTAGCTTTATGGTATATATTATAGTTCCATTCTTTGGAAGCTTTGTGTTCAGAATAATTTGAAGACCTTTAAATAAGGTCGAAAGCACTAGTGTTTAATAAAGTTAAGTGTGCTATATTAAAGGTTTAATGTGTGAATTGTTGAAACTGCATCAAATTATTTTGATTTTACATTATTAAAGTTAAACCAGAAAGATTATTAACTTATTCTAGAAATTTAATTAAGAAAAGTCAAGCATAAAAAAAATGTATGATTAAATATTAATGATCTGTTAATTACCTTATTATTCTGTAAGGAAAATTAGCAGATTAGAAATTGAGAACAACACACGAAAATATTAAATATTTTTATCAGATTGAAGGATTAAAGATTCATATAAAAAGCCAGTGAATTACATTAATACAGGAGCATCAGAATAAAATTATAAATTATTATAATGCAAAATACTGATTTGTAAAATGGTGTTTACCACATTTAATAGACCTCAATAATAGAAATCAGTTTTATGGGTGTGAAAAAAAACAATCCAAACAACTTAAAGGTCAAACTTATATTTTCTTTTCATTTTTGACATTATTAGGTAGGTTCAGTCAACTTAAAACCCCCCAAAAAACATTTCTTGTCCAAACCTATTTTTTTGAGGTTAAAACTCACAAACACAATTGATCATTTTGGCTCCTTGTTAAAAACCCCCACTTACAATTTAGAAGAAACTGTCCAAATTCATGTAGATGCTTTTATAGAATCATCATTGCAGCTATTGTTCATCACAAGTAAGAATCAGCATACAAAATACTCTATGTAATTTACTCACATCAAAGTACAAATTTTTTAAAATTGATGTTATTGTACTGTTTCCATCTGTACCTGCTTGAAGTCATTATATTAGTTAAAATGTTACTACTGTATTTTCTTGATTCTAACCTGCTGTCGAATATATGAAGTCAGTTTTTGAGACATCAAAATCCTAGAGAAGTTAGTTTATTTATTAAAAACATATTAAAAATAGATTTTAAAATTTTTATAAGTATAAAAATGAACAGAAAATTGATTTCAGATAATTAATTTTTTGTGTCATTGTTTTTAAAATTTGCAAATTAAGTCTTTCAATTATGTGAAATATTCATAAATTCTTTCTTGTTTCTCTCTGAGATTTATGCTAAATCTTTTTCCATTAATTTCACATCTACTAATACACCTTAATAGATATCTTATTTGTTCTAATAGTAAGTGTAGTTGCAAGATGAAAAGGCATCTGTCTGTTGGAGAAAGATAAGACTTATTGTAAACTGAAAAATTGCACATTAAACTTAGCTTTGTCACTCTTACTTTATTTTAACATTAAGTGAAAATGTTGAGAATTGTGTTGTTCAAATAATAATAAAGTGAAAAACGTTATCGGATTTATTCTGTTAACAGTTACCATCAAATTATAAATGCATCCAATTTCCAAAGAATTGGAAATAAGTGATTCTTCTCATTGTTCATCTTGGTTATTGATTTTTAGATTAATGTGTAAGCCTAAACTATAGAACAATTACTTTTTGCCATTAAACATTTCTATTTATTAATGTTTATAAGAAGTAAATATATTTTTAATAAATATAATGGCCAGGACAATAATAAAATATAAAAATATTCACAATTAGAAGAAACAATAAATGTCTTTATAGCTTGTCCTGGCCATTATATTAAATATTTGTTAATTGATAGATTTTTATGATTATGTCATATCCCTGGAATTTTTTAAACATTTTTACATATTGAGGTGTATGAGTAGCTTCAAATAAAAGGTCGACATCAAGAAAAAAGACAGAAATCAAGAATTTTGGGTATCATATCTTATTAAACTTACTGTATAATGTTGCACAAATCATTGCTAGGAAAAATGAAGAAATAACCAAGTTCTTTTACGCAATCATAGTCGAGTGAAACTTCTTTTAAAATGGTACGTGCTAAGTGTGCAACTATGCAGATGCGAATTTAGTAGCGAGCGATATAGTTCTCGCAAAGGAAAATCATGCACAAGCAAGAAACGAGAGCAAATTTATGGTTCTTGCACATATCTGAACAGGGTTTGATATTTATCTCATCTCGCCTCTTCTCGCTTACTCATATCTGCATAGTTGCACCCTAACTCCAGAAAAATTTTGACAGTTCTTCATAAGGCATCATAAGAAACCAGCAACGTTTGATTTTGTTTAAAAACTGGGAAACTAATTCAGAGAATAGCTTTGAGGTTTGGCAGTTAAAACCTTTATGGAACTTGGTGACTTGATCATAACTGATCAGATAAAGTTATATACAAGATCATTTCATTGATTAATGGCTTTGGTTCAAGAAACCAGAGAATATTGTGGTTAGATAATTATGAGAATGTATGGACCAATTTCAATAGGAAACCAAGGGATATATTTCATAAAGATAACTTAGTTTATGATCTTAGGTTGAAAATATTGATTTTGATGATGATGAAGAATGTGATAATCTTATGTATAATAAATGTAAGTGCCCTAATTTAGAGAATAGAAGTTGATACTGAGAGATAATAGAAAATTTGAATGTTATGTATGTGGAGGAAACCATTTTGCTTGAAATTGCAATAAAAAGTTTGTAAAGACATTTATTAAGAAAAAAAATACTGTGATAATGGAAATTAATCCAAACTTTGGGGCTAAATTTGTTGAGACATCAGTTAACGTCAAAAATAATTTACTCTTGAATCACCCTTTGGAATGAATCACAGCATTTACAAATAAACTGAATGTATACATTAATTCCACCTAATGTGTATATGATTCTAGTTTCATCAAATGACATGTTAGATGAATGTCTGGATGAAGGAAAAATTGATTCTCAAGTAAAGGTGGGGAGAGTAATGTCTTGGTACAATGAGTAAATAAGAATGAAATGGAGGAGACTTCTGATCAACAATGGCTTTAGAGCAATGATTTGGCTGACACTTTAAACCAATCAGCTGATATAAAATTGAAAGACAAGCAAAATAAATATATGCTAGAGAGATCTAAAACAAAGGAAGGACAACTTTATTCTGATTGATGATTTAATTTGTCACAAGGACAAAGTACTTGGGAAGTTAGTGACCAATTAGTTTTGCCACAGTAGAAGCATGACAAATACTTAAAGTTAGCTCACAAGTCCATCTTTGGGGGGCATGTGTATTAGGAAGACTAAAGAGTGGATCAGATACAATATTTATTGACTGAAAATGGCAAGAGAGAATTCATCTGTCATGTCCAATGTGCTGCAGTTGTCACTTGATGAAAAAGGAAAAACTTAAGTGATCGAGCATGAATAACATCTGTAGTATGCTTAAATTTCTTTTTAGGTTGTTGATGTAGATGTAATTGATGTTGTTCATCTTAATTGAGGACTTTGTATTCTGTAAAATGGATCAGCATGGTTGCTGACCTGAGGCAGTGATTCTATGATCATTTCAGGCAAATTAGCATGTGATGTTCTATTGCAGATATTTTTCAGAACTGAAGTCTATGAGCGTTGTGACTGTGATCTGATAAGAAATTTCAAGTCATCCCCGACACAAGAATTTTTGGAGAGGTTTGGATCAAGTCCATTTTCTTGTCTGGTATCCTGCAAGCAATGGTTTATTAGAGAGATGGGATCAAGTATTGAAAGAAATGCTGCATTTCTTTCAACAAAACTGAAATTGGTAGGTATCATTCCAGTTGTTCACTTAGATAACCAACTTGACAATTGGAGTATCATTGTTTAAGCTGTTTTGTGGTAGAGAAGCCAGAGAACTATTGACAGTGCTCAAATCCACTCGGGCCTGAGAGACTTGCTTGCCAATGAATGTCTCCAGCATGATGGTGGATCACCTTCAAGAGGCAAAAATAAGATTGGAACAAACTTCTGAAAAGCTATCACTGACTACTGCACACCAACAGAAGAGTTATATGGATTACAGTAATAAGAGCTCTGAGAGAGGGCATTATCATCAAGAACATGCAACTGTTGAATAAGGCAGGAAAAAGAAAAGAGTATTTTGAACAAGGCTGCAAAGAGTGCTGGTTTTCTGGTGTAACAGTTCTGTGAATAAATATAACACACATTTATTCACAGAACTGTTACAGCAGAAAACTGGCACTCTTTGCAGCCTTGTTCAAAATACTCTCTTCTTTTGCTCATTGCAATTGTTTGGAACTCGTTTCAGAATCACCACAGCAAATCAGATATGACACTAGTGTTAGGTTTTATTTATTACAGTGCAAATAGAAAAGTAGTAATTGAAGAGTCAACGCTTGAACTTCCTATGCACAATGAAACATTTGATGCATTGAAAGATAGTGTTGACGTGCTTAGAAATGCAACTTGAAGCAATTCTTCAACTCATGACAATCTTGCTTGATCGTCAAACCAGGGATTTAGCCAAATTAAAAAATAAAAACTATATAAGACAAAGCAAAATAAGTAATTTTTTCAAAGAAGAACTGTAATAAATAATTTTTACACAAATGACGTACTTTATGTAATTTTAACTTTACTATTAAACTGTGTATTTTTACTTTGAATTCAAAGTTTCATCAGTATGCTGTAGATTGCAATGAAACTTTGTCTGTTTTTAATAAATTAGATCATTTTTTCATTAATTCTTATTAGTA